AACTGTTTGGATTGGCAAAGAAGGAGAGATTTCGGAGATTTACTGCCAACCTTCAAGAATTGAGAGGGAATTTTTCGCTTAGCAACATATTTTTGCGATTCATTTTTATCAATCAATCAATCAATCAAAATACGTTTATTCAATTTAGATGCTTCTTAGAGCATGCTTATGAATGTCAACAAGGTTTACAAAATTCACGAAAGAGCAAGACTACGCCATCCGTTCGCAAAACTACCAGGAGGCCTTGTTCTGAGAAGAACGGGCAAGAAACTCAAGTTTTACCCTCCCTCTACATTACAATTATTCAAAGGAAAATGTCATAAACCACAACGTCATTAAAGTTACATAAGTAAAAAAAAAAAAAATCTGTTCTGTGATTTACCACATTCACCATTACACACATATTCATAACACTTCAAAGATAACAAATCAAATTATAAGAATATAATTAGAACTATTGCCAAGCGTTTTTATCTTCCAGGTAGTCATTGACTGTGTAGTAACCTTTACACATTAAGGTTTTTTTGATGTGTGTTTTGAATCTGTTTAAAGGCAGTTCCAATATTTCACTAGGAATCATGTTATAGCAGCGTATACTTAGGCCCATAAATGAAGTATTTATTTTCTGCAACCTGTAAGACGGCTGGAAAAGTTTTCCCTTATTTCTTGTATTCCTATTGTGAATGTCGCTGTTCTTTAAAAGAGAACTAATATTACTACGCACAAAAACGATACAGTTGTAAATATATTGGGAAGGTACCGTCAAAATATCGATTTCCTTGAACAAATTTCTAAGTGAAGTGCCTGGTTTCAAGCAATAAATTGACCTAATAGCACGTTTTTGCAAGATAAAAATAGATTGTATATCTGCTGCTTTGCCCCATAAAAGAATTCCATACGACATAACGCTGTGAAAGTAACTAAAATATACTATTCTGGCAGTTTCCTCGTCTATGAGTTGCCTAATTTTCCTAATAGCGTATGCCTATTATGCGTATTATTTATACGTATATAATATATAATTTAAAAGAAATGTATTATTAAAACGCAGTCTCGTCGAATTTTTTATATATTTAATGGCAAAAAAATTTGAGTTCTATGTTTTATTAATTATCATATTTTTTTAAATAAAAATAAATAAAATACCTTTTAACCTGTGAAGGTATACATTGCATAAACATGCAATATATTCTCTTTATCCATATCTCAAAAATAGTTAATTTGTTTGTCGTGTCGGAACGTGGTCTTGAAAAATTATAGAATTGAAGTTCGCGCTCTAATAAAATATCTCTGCTATCTTGAGAACAGAATTGGGAGTTCATGCTCCTTCATATTTGTCCAGTTCCTCCAGTTGCACATTGGTGTTCTGAAGCTGTTTACGCAGCTTTCTTCTTCGCAGAATAAATTATTTTTAATTTTACACCTTATTAAATCTTGTCCCTTTTAATAAAAATTGTTAAAGGTCAAATCTGTATTTACTTCACAATAATTGTGTATAAAAAGTACTTTATTTGAATTATAATATAATTAATTAATTATATCTTAATTGTTAATTTTTGTGTAATCACTGTTTGGCGGTTAAACTTCAGTTAAGTTTCACACCTACTGCAAATAACTCAAAAATTAAAATTAATTATGATATATCAATAAATTCTGTCAACCCTAATATTATCGAGGTAATACTGAGGCAACATCAGCATTTATGATCGTTCTTACAATTTTGGGTGTAAATTATTGTATTAGTTCGTGAGTACGCAAATAGTTTTTCAATTTTCAATATTCAAGAAAAATTAATTGTAGGACATATTTATTTCAACAAATAACATGTTCAAATAAATAAATAAAAATAAATCAGTGGTGCTACGACCTATTTAGGTCTGGACCTCAGATTTCTGTATCTGTTTCATTATCATTTGTCAATCGAAAAGGAAAGTAGGCACGTGATCACCGTTCCAGCGAATGTTTAATGTTCACATAGAAATAAAGTCTATTTGTGCACAGGCGAGGCTCGAACCTTCCACCTCAGGGATGAGAGTCGAATGTATATTTAACACATCTACCTGCATAGAATACCTTCTTTCCTTACCTTAAAAGGAACATCTGCTTTTAGTTATTGAACTTATTATTAAAACATAAGCAACCTTCATACGAATGAAAAATAGCCTGCCTCGCTATTCAACGACTTGACGGGCTTATTGCGAATATTGGAAGGTTTCATTTGAATTAGTGTTAGTGCACGTTAATCTTAAGTGCTAAACAGTGGTAAGTGAAAAAAATATAACACAAGAACAGAGTGTCTTACAAGACACCCTTACCCTTACCCTTACCCTTACCCTTACCCTTACCCTTACCCTTACAAGAGACTGTAAGAAGTGTTATTGGACACTTTCTTATGTTAAATATCCTTATTAGTAAATAAGGTTAGACTTAAATTACTTATGAGTCTTAAGTTAGGCTAGATCGTAATGATCCATGTCTCAGCGAAGACATATGTATTTAAAAAAAGATCTGGATCATTAAGAAAAACGAAAAAATCCTATGTAGGAACTAACAACACATTTTTAGTTGGAAAACTTGAATAGGCATGCGTTATTAGCCCGAATATTATTCGTGTAAAATATATAAAATACCGTAATCAAAAAGACGAACATTTTTGATGTCTAAAACTGACAATAATGTATCGTTAATACAAGTAATTGCACAAAATGTTCGTTCTAAGGGAACTTGAGGTTCGTGTACGGCAGTAATTGATTGATGGGCACGATAAGCCACATTTCTTTTGATTTTAAAAAAATAAACTGACACTGAAAATAATAAATAAAAAGGATTTTTTTTAATATTATTTTGTTGTGTTTTATTTACATATCTCACAACTAGATAATAACTAACTAAAAGTAACATAACCTATGTTACTTTTAGTTCCCTACTATCTAACTACTAACTCCTAGGGAACTAAAAGTAACATATTAGGTCATGTCATAGGGAACTAAAAGTAACATATTAGGTTATGTTACTTTTAGTCTCAATACTATCTAACTACTAGGGAACTAAAAGTAACATATTAGGTTATGTTACTTTTAGCATACTATCTAACTCATAGGGAACTAAAAGTAACATATTAGGTTATGTTACTTTTAGTTCAATACTATCTAACTACTAGGGAACTAAAAGTAACATATTAGGTTATGTTACTTTTAGTTCAATACTATCTAACTACTAGGGAACTAAAAGTAACATATTAGGTTATGTTACTTTTAGTTCCTATCTAACTACTAGGGAACTAAAAGTAACATATTAGGTTATGTTACTTTTAGTTCAATACTATCTAACTCCTAGGGAACTAAAAGTAACATAACCTAATATGTTCTATGTTACTTTTAGTTCAAAACCCCCTATCTAACTCATAGGGAACTAAAAGTAACATATTAGGTTATGTTACTTTTAGTTCCCTACTATCTAACTCCTAACTCCTAGGGAACTAAAAGTACATAGGTTATGTTAAACAATTATTTAAACAAATTAGGAGTACATATGTTAAACAATTATTTAAACAAATTGCAGATTATTACGAAACATATTCAAATATTACAGGTTAAACATATTTTTAAGGCGATTTATGAGTAACAACTAGCTAGCTAGCCTTTATATTACTTACGAAACCTAAGTAATTGTGTATTAGTAAATTTATCCTTCGAAACATCTCTACCAATAGTCAATACTCCTTATATCCTTTGTTAACCTTCTATAATCCTTCCAAATATCCCTAAACAAACATAACAATTATCTACTTCCATTGTAAGACTATGAATTAGCACGCTCCTAGTCAAACATAGTACGGCAATTAAGCGATCGCGTGTTCTTTTCATTCAAATCACTAATTAAGCTATTAAACTAAATACTCAAATTAAAGTTAGAACAATAGTCACCCGCAGGGATATATTGTTCTGGCAAGGGGTATATTGTTTTAGGACCCTCAAACTAAGTTCACACGCGTATTATTGTAGGTGGGGTTAGATTTATTCCGATGAGAGTCGATATTTTCTAATTGTATTTAGAAAACAATAGTAATTATGAATGTGATTTCGTTTACGTCGGCCATGTTGAATTTGACGTTATTACGGGTTTACAACTGTCATTGTGTCAGTTGTCATTTATGTCATGTTTAATGTTTGCAAAGTAATTGGTTACGTACAAATGCAAATATTTCAGATTTCAAACGGTTTGTGTTTCAGACCAAATCTAGGAAAAGTTTTTAATTCAGCCTTTTTGGTTCAAAAACATCTCTTCGAATAACGTGAGCTACATTATTATTTAGGAAACACGAAATGAATACCACAAACATATATATATATATATATATAATACAATACTTTGTTTGTGGTTGTGATATAATCTGTAAACTCCGTCCGACGTTCCACAACGGAGCGTTTCTTAAGGCAATTTTTGCCGCGCACCACCACTATGTGGAACCAGCTGCCCACTGAAGTATTTCCGAACCAATTCGAATAAAGGTCCTTCAGGAAAAGGGCGTACCAATTCTTACAAGTGCCTTTTAGCAATGTGAGTGTCCATAAGCGGCGATATCACTTAACATCAGGTGGGCCTCCAGCCCGTTTGCCTATTACATAAAAAAAATTCTTTTATATCTGATTTCGCGCTTTTATCTGTTAAAGAACTTTATTTTATTTTTTCCTGGGTTAAGCCAAAGAGATTAGACCTATTATTGGGTTGTTGAAAGAAGTTTATGAGTTGTGTTTAAAAAAATTCAACTCTATCTCAAGTTTAACTTAAAGCAAGAGTATAACTTTACTTTACAAAAACGATATTTAAAATGTTTACTAAAATATTTTTTAAATACAACACAAATTTGGTTAATTAAAATATACTTAATAGCTATTTACTGACTACATCTTGAATTCCCAAACCAACAACATACAGACCTCGCTTGTTATATACATTCACTGTACCTGTATGGTCTGACACGTTAGATCTCTGCCTCTTTATACATCTTTGCACTCTACATACTGCAGGCGATCTTTTAATATTTTTGGAGTGAATCCGATACTGGCCAACTTCGATAACAGAATGTCATTAACGTCGTCAAACGCCTTCCTGTAATCAAAGTATGTAGCATCCACCTGCGTCCATAATAGGGATTACATAACTAATTGCGTTCAATAAGTTGCTGCTTGTACTACGCAAGGTTCTAAAGCTATGCTGGCAGTCTGACAAGTACGGTTCTACTTGTTAGACAATGATCCTTCGAATTTTAGCGGGAGTCGATAATATAGTTACCAGTCTATATGCTTCCTTAGAGTCTTTTCTATCTCTGATTGTGATTCTCGTCATTTTCCAGGAATCTGGAAAGTAACCGTTATCCAGGTTGAATAAATAGGCAAGGGGCGCAGCAGGTATAGATCGGCAGTTCCTCATAATATATGCTGGTATGCCGTCTGTACCTGCCGAGCGCTTCAGCTTTAGTAACAAAATTCAAGTTAGAACAAGGAACTTAACAAAATATGAAAGATTCTACAGGTTTTTTGTATAAATAAATGAATATAAAAAATAAAAAATCAGTGGCAATACAACCTTTTTAGGTCTGGGCCTCAGATTTCTGAATCTGTTTCAAGATTATTTGTCTTATAGGCAAGTTGGTGATCAGCCTCCTGTGCCTGACACACGCCATCGACTTTTTGGGTCTAAGGTCAGCCAGGTTTTCTCACGATGTTTTCCTTTCACCGTTCGAACGAATGTTAACTGAATATAAGCTACGCTTAAGTATACAAGCTAAAAAAAAAGATCCAGCGTGCTTGGAAATTAATCATTTCCGCGCAAATTGTAAAACAATAATATAAATTATTGCAAAACTTAAACCCTTTCTTAACGTTTCTAGACTTTTATTGTGAGACTGTTTTAGAGCTTTAACTTTTAAAAGCTTTAATATTTATGTACTAATAAAACTATATTATATGATATCACATTATACCACAATTTTTATTCTATGTTCCTTTCAATTACGGTCTACAATTATATAATAATAAGACTTTAAATACGAAAATATTGTGATTTTATTAATCTATATTTTCTTCGTAATGACAACACCAATGACTTTAAACAGGTGGCTATGTTTGACTTTGTTATCGTAAGTTATCCTTAAAGCGGGGATCAAACAGATAAAAGATAAGAAGTGATGTTTCCGCCTCACAACAAAGCGCTTTATGTTGCTTAGACACCAGATCAACGCTACTGATATCTTAAAATGTTATAGATATTTGCATAGAATGAAAAAAAAACCGTAAACATCGTCAGCTTTCTAGGTTATTTTTTTTCTGAGATAGTCAAACACACGGTCACAGCCCTTATATATCAATTCTCATCCACACTCTTAAATACATAGTATATTATACGCAGACACTGACACATTCACGCATACTTGAGGTCTTACACAGGACTGATTCCCTGCACAGGGTACCAGTCACCCACGTAGGCGGCAAGGACAATAGATTTAGTGGCCTGTATTTGCACCAATATTTGTTTTGAGAGTGATTGACATTTAGACTTTGTTTTATAAAATATATTAAATGTATGACAGCGCACCATTCCATCAAAGGTCGGCAACGCAAGCCCCCCAGCGGTGCAGGTGTCCATAGCACATTAATGAAAAGTGTTACTCGTTTGCCGCCATCCCATAAACTATCTATATGTATATAATTTGGATCAATGATAACAGGCTATTGAACTTTTGCGGCTTATGTTGTATATATTAATACAAATCTGAAAAACTAACAATTTCTCAGATTTATATACAAATAAGTAACGAGCGATGGAGGTAAATTTCAGAGCGTACACAACAACAAACAAAACTTTACAGCTAACATCCTGAAAACTATTCACGTGATTACAAAACTTATATGGAATCATTTAGTGGAATCGTTTGCACCTAGAAGTGAATGAAAATACACAAAATTCAATAAAAAATAGAATTATTGCCTCTTTGTTAACACAAACCGTAATTTAATATTCTTCCTGTTTAGTATTTTTGCCTTTAGCTAGGTATTGATTAGAAGGTGGTCAACTTTTGCCAAAAACACCACTGGCGACCCAAAGTGAGCATTGGCCTTTGAAACTAGATTCATACCTTGATTTTCGGTTCTAAGCAATACCATCTTCAAGATGTTTTGTATTCACTGTAAGAGCAAGTAACAAGCTCGCAGGAAGTAACATCCGTTGGTAGTACCGTGATTCGCCCACACTGTTCTTCCGCGTTATAAAATGTAATTGTTAACGTTATTTAAATAAGTCCACAGGAGATGCCTATGTCCAAAAACTCATGTAAGAAAAGATTAACATAGCGCCCACAGTTACGGATATCAGCAATCACAAATAGTAATGAATCTAACTCAAATGTAGGTAAGGAAAGTCTGACAATTCCTTAAAACTTACAGCTGAAGTTAACCAATTTTGATAAACGTTTTATTACACAAAGTTAGTCGGAACATAAAAATAATTTATATCATTCAAGAACTGTATAATGGCTTTGACTTTTTAGAACATTTGTATTGACTTTGTATGCGACCCAAATCTAAAACAAAGTGTTAGTTACACCACTTATAACTCAAGATTGGCTGGACCGATGTAAGTTATCTCTATTTTGGCGGATTCTTCTCCACTCCGAATAGCATAATAAATAATGAAATATCGGATAAGTTACGAATGCAAACAGCATGTGGTGCCATCTGTTGACGAAATATGAAAGTCAAAGTCCATCAAAGCATCAAATATAAGTAAATATGTCACGAAAGTGAGCGATATGGCGGTTTTTGGCCAACGAAATAAAACATATCTGTATTTGCAAAAAAGTTGTATTAATGTATAACATGTATTATACCTTAATGAAGTCATAAATTATGTTTAACTAAAGTTAACACGATATTATTAGACAGTTAGGCGGAACGAAGTTTGCCGGGTAATAATCCAGTGCCGCTACAACCCTACAGGGTTGACCTCAGATTGCTTCCGTTTCCGATGATTTTTATCTCAAAGAGAAGTAGGTGATTCTGTGTGACACATGTCGTTTATGATTTGAGACACGCACGATGTTTTGAATGTTAAATGCGCACATAGACAGAAAGCTCATTGGCTGCACAGCCGGACCTATCACTTTAGAATGAGAGTCGAATGCTGAAGCCACTAGGCCAACACTTTTCTATGAATAGTATTGGTATCGAAAACGGTCAAAGCGTATATATATTTATATTTTCGAAAATGTCGAATAAACCGAAAGACTTTTTCTAGACATCAAAAATTTTTCAGAACCGCCACTAGGACTTCTACACACAAGTACATATTAACCATAAATTAAGCTTCACCCAGTATATCTAAGAGTATACATATATCTACAATCTACATACTAGCTGACCCGGCAAACGTTGTTTTGCCATGTATATTATTTCTAGGAAAAAAAATTTAGTTCAATAAAAATAACTATCTACTATAATAAAAAATAGGAGTTAATCGTAGAGGGGTAAAAATTAAGGGTTCTATGTATTTTTTAATGCCACATAATAAAAAATTATACAAAGTTTGGGATGGACACCCCTTTTCACTTAAGGGTATGAAAGAGCCTTGTACAATGTACACTTAGAAAGCCGATTCTCAGACTTACTGAACATGCTTAAAAATGTTCATAAGAAACAGTCGAGCCGTTTCGGAGGAGTATGGGAAATATATCTAAAAGTGTACATATATATAAGTATACATATAAATCTTTTGTTCACGCTATTCTAAGCAAAATAAACACGATACTAGCTGAAACAAAAGTATCGAAACCGTAAGTTTTCCAAATAAGGTATGCCACGGAAAATTGTTTAGCTTATTTCTGGTTACTTAGCTACCGTATCTCTCAGACAATTGAGAGCATCTTTGGCTATGATTTATATTTATTGCCCAATATAACGACCCAATCACCCAGTTCCGATCAACGTAATTTATGGTCCACAGACGACATATGTGCTTTTATTACGGCTTAATTGCCAGATTTTGGACTATTAGAATAGTTGATTGGAGGTTATTAAATTGATAGAGGAAAATTGGGTTATGAAATTTCTGGCGTTTGGTATTAAATATTACAGATTTTTGTGTAAAGCTTTATTCGTATAGAATAAGATAGATTATGTCTAAGTGTACATTGTATAACCTGCTGAATAGATACAAAAAAAAAATGTTTTTTTTTTTCAATGTATAAATTATATTATGACCGTAAGTTGGCGCTAAGTGGGTGAAAAGCAAGGTTAAGTTAGTGATTATAATATACATATTATTTTCTGTTTATTTATTTCATTAAAACACAGGAGTGCAAGTAATATTAAAGAGTTACAAAATTGAATAGAACTTTTATAATTTTTTTTTAGTCTTTGGATGTTGACAATATTAAAAAAATAACATATAACTAACTAGCAGACGCGACATTGTTATGTATACATAAATAAAAAATCTACTTATTTTCAATCCAAACCATTCTCAAATTCACTTGAACACTCTAAAATTTTCATCAAAATCGGTCCAGCCGTTTATAAGTCTAATCACAAACACACAGAAGATTTATATATATATGAATATACAATCTTATATTTTACATAATCTTGTTGTTTTAGACAGTTTAGTTAAAGTACGAACATTCTAACCCCAGTACATTTTGATATTAATCCCATGGCAACGCAATATTTTATAAAGCATACCTTATAATCTCCTTTCACATAAGTTGCAAAGAAAAGCTCCAAGCAAGAATTAGCATAAAAGAAGCAAAAGCTCATCTCGGAATGTCTTTAAAAAGCAATAAAGCTGTATATTGAATAAAATTACACCTTACAGCCGCTAACGACTGCAGCTATTGGATCTTTTTTTATCATTTTTAGGGTTCGGTTATCAAAAAAGAAAATCCATTAGGCGTATATGCTTCTTTTTGATTTGTTAATGAAGGCTACAAGACTAGCCACACTACCAATGTTTTCGATGCTTCTCGCTATACTAAACTCTGGGTCGAAGGTATCACTTTAACAATACTAAAATGCGTTTATCACAATGTATGCCTAGTTGGCCTAATGGCTTCAGCCTGCGACTCTCATCCTCGAGGTCGTTCGATACGCGGTTGTGCACCACTGGACTTTCTTTATAGTTATTTATTCAATATAACAATCAAATATATAAAGAATAATTAAAAATTTGTAAAAATAAATTTAAAACGAATTTAAAAAGTTCGGTCCTTTTGGTGGTGTACCTCTAACGCTGGCAGCATTTCTTCGCTGTATTGCGATTATTTTCCATTTTTTTTCCGTCTTTCTATGTGCGCATTTAACATTCCCTCGAACTATGAAGGAAAACATCGTGAGGAAACCCGCTTGTCTATTAGATTGACAAATGATCATGAAACAGTC